CTCACAATGGAGGGGGGAGTGACTTCTTGGGCACCAATGTTGTCCCTGCCCCTCTTACCTTCCACTGGGCCATAGTCTATGGGTTGCAGTGTGGTCAAACCCTGATTCTTGCAGCAGCTGCCGAACTGCCCCTGCAGACACTATCCCTGTTCTGCCTCCCATCTTGCCTCCCCTACGCATTCCAATACACCCATCTGCAGATGTACTCATGTGTGGATCTCTCAGGCATGTTTGTTGGATTGTAGATGTCTTACTTGTAAATTTAGGGGAAAATAAAAAGGAGTCTTCTTACTCCACTGTGATGCTTACACCACTTTTCTCAAGTGTGTGCTGCTTTTTGTGAAGCAGTTATAAGAATTGTTTGAAAGCCTTCATGTCACAATCCCATGAGGTCTTCTCAGGCTTGACATGTATTATCTTTTGCCACCTGAGAGTATTATGCTCTTTTGTATGTCAAATAACTTTGTGTTGTGTCATGGACATTGCAAATGTTGTGTTGTATGACCCCTGGCTCCTATTGAGATTATCTGGAGAATGTTGGTCTTTTTGTTTTCAACCTGGTTAGGGTCAGACTGCATGCTCTCTCTTGATCTTGTGTGGGTGGTAGTTAAAATGCCAGCTTAATTCTCAGAATCTTTAATAGGTTGGTTTGAGTCTGTCCCACTCACAAAACTTGTGTGGGCTCTTACACAGAATTAGGGGAAGGTCTCTTTCTGCTCTGGAATTCTCATCTCACTCTCACTTTAGCCCCCACAGGAATACTTTTTTTTTTAGATAGAAAGATGTTTCTTTTTACCTCAGATTTTATTTAGCCAGTCACATCATGGCCACAACTGCACTGCTCCATAGGAGGGTTGCCTTTGAAGCATAAGTCACATGCTCAGGAGAGGTCCTATTTCTGCAGTCTGATGCTTCCCTGTGCAGATGAGTCTCCATACCGACACAATCCATCTGCTTTCAATTTCGGCATCCTCAAGTAATTGTTTCATATTTTTGCCAAGAGATTTTAGTTGAAATCAGTGGGATAGGCAGTCACTGGCTCAAGGTGGCAGGATGGAACTGGAAGTCTGCAACACTTAATAGAAGTTTGAGCCTGGAAAAGCTACTACATCTATATGCCTCTGGATCTCTACTTGTGCATGGTGGTAGCAACATTACCTACATCACTTTTCATTTTTGGCATTGTGTCATGAAAATAAAATGTGACTATGGGCGTTAAGCTAGTAATAAGCGCTCAGTAAACATCAATGCATTATTTATGTATGTCCTATAAGAGTGAACACTTAGATTAGAATTACTGGAAAAAAAATAAGAACTAAAAATAAAAAATAAATAAGAACTAAAAAGTTAGAAGTTGTTGATCTGACTACCTGTATGCTGATGCTTGAAGGTTAAAGAGAGAGGACATTTAGAAGAGCAAAATATTTTATGCCAGTTTTGTAGCCACTGAAATTATATGCTTATCCTTTTCAATGGATACATATAGCAGTGATCTATACAGGATTTAAAGGACAGTTAAAGCAGTTTGCAGGTATGCATTTTATAAAATACAAAGTTAAATAAGAGTGAAGGCTAGTCAGGGAGGAGCAAAGTAGGTTTACACTTGTATGTGAAACAGTTTGTTCTTGTATTATTTACTAGAGGCGTGGTGCCCAAAATTTGTGTACTTGGGGGTGAGGAGGAAACTGGTCTTGCAAGGTGTGTCAGGCCATAAAAACAGTGAACAATGCACTTCCTTGTGGGGAGGGGAGGAAAGTCACTATTCTGGCCCCAGAACAGATAATTGGATATGGCCTGGGGACCCCCAACACCTGGGGGCCTTCCTGTAAGCCCACAAAAGGGGCTGAACCATATCTGTGAGACAAAGACTCTAGGTTCTAAAGAGAGAAGCCCTCTGCGTGTCTCTTCACTCTGATTTGGAAATTATTCCTGGAGTCCACTAGTGTAAATAAAGGGGGTCCCTCCCTTTCTATAGGAAGTGTGCTTGGTATTTCTTTGGTCTTCTGCAACAGGGGGGAGGGGTCTCTCTTGCAGTTTGGGAGCCCTTGGGGTATGTCTAACTGATGCTTAGGCCCACTCCCCATAAGAGTGCACTGGCTCAGGTCTTCTTGCTGAGTGGTGCTCCCCTGTGGGAGCATACTGACCACCAGGGGGCAGCTCATGCATTTGGTGTTGGAGTATCTGCCCCTTTCTGGTCAGTGACATCATAGTGATTGGTTGTTCTACCATTTGGTTGATTTGCATATTAGCCTTTTATTATATAGGATTAACTAGAGGCCTGGTGCAGATTCGTGGGGTCCCCTGGCCTGGCCTGGCCTGCAGGGATCGGGCTAAAACTGGCTCTCCAACATCCCCCAAGGGGTCCCAGATTGCGAGAGGGCAGTTCTTGCGTGACACACTGGAGTCAGTCTTCCTCCTCTCTGGTTCTGGGTGCATCACCTGAGAACTGCAGCTGCTAAGTCACTGGTGCATTGAGCATCTGCCCCTGGTGGTCAGTGCATGGCATAGCTACCAGTCAGAGTGTCTGCCACCTGGTGGTCATTGTGTGTCATGGCTACCGGTTGGATGGTCGGTTGCTTAGGCTTACATATATACTGTATTATTTTCCATATGAACGGCTATAAACTTACTTTCCCCCCACCAGTATAATAAATGCAAACTAAGGGTTTTGTTTACTTTCTGGATAATACTATTGTTTCCATTTGCTCCCTTGCTAGATGGTTGAAAAGGAACATGCAACCCACTGAAGATCTTAAGTCAGTAATCCAGAAGCTGTCTGTGTTTGGGCCAATTAAGTCAGTCAGCCTTTGTGGACGGCAAAGTGCTATCGTGGTGTTTGAGAACATGACTTCAGCGTGCAATGCTGTGAGTGCTTATCACAGCAAGAAGCCCGGCACCATGCTGCATTGTTGCTGGAAACATCGATTCATGTCCAAAGGTGTAAGGATTCATTTACCAAAAACCTATGTAAGTTCTTTTTTTTCCCCTTCTTTTCTTTTTTATTGCCAAAACGTTTATTGTGAAATGGTCTTAAAACAAAGGAAAGCAAAGCTCACATCTAAATGAAATGTATGATATCAACTTGGATTTTTGAATACACTGTGGACTTTGTGCCAAATGCCAAATTCCAACTATGAAGGCAGTGCCTGAATAGTCTTACCACACAAAAGAAACATTTAATCTGCCATGCAAACATTATGCAAGATTTTGGCATAGGATGCTCAGAGTAACATTGCAACAGAACAATTGAGAAAAAAAAATTGTTATAAAACAAAGTGATAAGGCCAGCTAAGTCTCAAGGAATATATTTTCTATTTAGTACAAAAATTTTAAAATAGTGCAAAAGCAACACATGTAGTGTGTTATAGCTGACATTAAAATCTTATTCTGCACATGATGTAAAATAACCAATGTACGTGGTTGAAACTTTAGTTCGAAGTAAATACTCACATGCCAGAGAGCTCCTCACAGGCAAGAGTGCAATGACATGTTGGATCTGAGGAAACATAGCTAGTCCTCGGATTTCCAGGCAGAGACACATTTTCCCTCATAGAAATGCTGCCTCAAGAGCTATTAGGCTACACTACAGTCAAGGGAACAGAACAGGTTCTTCTTTTTGGCAATGCTTAAAATCTAAACAGGAGAAGTCTTACTCAAAAGCATCAAAAGGTACCTGTTTATAGAAAAAGTATGCTCTATTACATTTGTGATATAGTGAGACTGCTAATTTTAAAAAGCTGCAATAAATCTTGATACCTAATTTTTTTTTTAAAGTATCAAGGTTTAACTCAGATTTAGTTTTAAAGTGATCTTTCATGAAATGCTTACCACTCTAATGAAAACTCTGACAATAAAGTTATCTACATCGTGGGACTATACAAGTCATTTTAGATCTCTCCCAATGCCACCCCGTCACCTCCCATTCCTTGATTTTTATGGAGTCAAGTTTGAATCCCACGCCTGGTGGTGAAATGTAACAAATCCGCTGCATACTAAAAACCACTGGCTACAAAACAGTTCTCAACAGTTCTAGAGCATCCAATACAGGCATGCTATGAGTCTCCCAACTCTTCCCATTGGTTGTTTATGTAAAATACAAAATTATAATTTTGCTAAAAAAAAAAAAAGATTGTTAGGAAAAGGGCACCTTTTAAATTAACTTGGTTACTTTGCAGAATTATAGATACCTCAATAAGAAAAAACAAAACTACTTGTGGCATCAATGTAGCCAGAGAGTACATTTAGCTGCTTCATAGTTTCCACCAGCATTCTTCTGGGGAAAGATACCATTTCCACAAGTGGAGATTTAAAATAAATGCCACAAACATATAAAATTTCGATTGTGTAGTAGTTGCAATTCTGAAAATGCACCTTTTAACTTGGATAATTCTATTTTGGGAATAAAAGTTAGATGTGGAACTCTAAAAATGCCAGCTTTAACAAGTTTCTCAATGATGGGTGTTTTGGGTGAAATTCTTTAATAGGTGTGACTATCTTGCTATGCTGGATATTACAAAGTCTTGGTATTGGGCACTTAATACATCCTCAGGCACCATGATGACCAAAAATATGCCCCAGCACTCCCAAATACCATTAGGTGACAGCACTAGCCCGGTAGAGAACACTAGTATGGTGTCATCAAATTCTAAATGATCAACTGGCTCCAGGGCCATGTGGGATCAGCAGCTGGGGTTGCCAAGGCCCAGCACATGGGTGGGGGGGCACCTGGGATTGAGAGGACTGCGGCCCCACCAGGCTCACATGCTTCCACCAGAGTCAGAAGTTGAACATCAAAACTATGTAAATTCTTAACATCTCTGTTGTTTTATATATAAATAAATAAATATATTTAAATCTGGGCTCTAGTACATAAAATAATCATAAATACTTTATCACTGAAAAAAAAAAAGGCACAGTGAAGTTTATTTAGTTGAAGTATTGGAAATTAGAAATCGTAGCACATCTCCTCCTTTGAAATGCTTAACTTTGCTTATTAGTCATCACAGTTTTGATCTTTTGGATAAGAAGTTCATGGTTGCATTCATACATTCGTCTGATAGCCATCTTTTCTGGAGGACACTACTTTCTTCAGCATTAACAGCATGTAGCTTTTCTTTCTCTATTTTCCTGATGACCTGTTTTGAAATTCTCATGGACTAAAAAAACAAAAACCAACAATAAGGTTAAGAGGTATTCTAATAGAATGGTATTATTCTAAAGTTCTGATTCTTGTTTCTGATTAGACATTAAAATATTTGTGTAATATAAGACAGTGCTTCTCAAATGTGCACACAAACCACCTTAGATACCAAAGCTTCTGATTCCAGGATGGCATTTTGAGCAGCAAACATATGAATCACATATGAAAATGGAAGTGCTACATTAAGAATCGCCTAGAAATTAAGCTATCTTACCTAGTTTCTTACCTAGATTCAAGACTAAAAGTGTTTGGTAAATACTGCCTATCATTCTCCTCAAAGTTATCCCCAAAAAGAACTGGCCCCACTGCCTTCATGTCATAAAAATGGAATGCTTATTTGATAATTTTTCTAAAAATTAGTATTGCTAATGATGATAATTGTTAATCTCAAATTTAGGTGTACTTAAAGCAAATCAAGATATGTCTTGTGTGTTTTTTTAATTGCTTATTTTCTTAAAGTTCCATGGTTCATACAAGTAAAAAAAAAAATACTAACATTTTGGGGGAGCTTTGAATATGCTTTCAGCCTCGTCCAAACTTCTTTCTGAAAAGTACTATCAGGAAAAACTTCAGTAACAAGTCCTTGAGCACATGCTTCTCTTGCTGTTAACTTCTTTCCAAAAATAAGCATCTCTGTTGCCTGAAATGAAAAGGAAAACTAAGAAAATAACCTAATGAAATGAGGCTCAGTTAACTTCAGAATTAATTGCTTTTAATAGACATAGGGAGATCTACTTATGGTCTTTTGAAGTTGCTAGTATTTCTCAAAGGAAGAAACTGAGGACATCAATAGGCAATAGTTTACAAACTGAGCATTGAGGCTCTCTAGAAGGTTTGTAGGGTTGTTGCTTCTGTGTGTGTCTATGTTGGAAAGGAAGCTGGGGCAGAAATGACCTGAAGCAGATGCTGACTTTATAACCCACAGAAGATATGATTTTCTGCTTTTATACACTATAAACTATTTAAAAAAGAAAAAAAAATTATGGTCATAGGAAATGCCAACCTTTAGAATCCCTAACTTTCAAAATTCCCTTCCCTGAAAATTCTACCCAGTGGTCTAGCTTTGATGGTTTTCTTTTACCTGCACAGGCACTCAAATTAGTTCTCTTTGACTGAAGGAAAGTATAAATAACACTAATATTCAGTTTCAAAAAAACCTGATATCACTATATATATATATATATATATATATATATATATATATATATATATATATACACACACACACACACACACACACACACATACACACACACTAGAGACCCAGTGCACGAAATTCATACACTTGGGGGGTGGGAGAGGGGGGTCTCTCAGCCCAGATTGCGAGAGGGTGCAGGCCAGGCCCAGAGACCCCACTGGTGCAGAACTGGGGCCAGGGAGGTTGGCCAGCAGGAGAGGGACCGTGGGAGGGCTCCAGGGAGTGTCTGGCCCATCTCGCTCAGTCCCGATTGGCCAGACCCCAGCAGCAAGGTAACCTACCAGTTGGAATGTCTGCCCCCTGGTGGTCAGTGCACATCACAGCAAGCAGTTGAGCTGCCTTAGCATATCATTAGCATATTATGCTTTGATTGGCTGAACGACTGACCAGATGACCAGACACTTAGCATATTAGGCTTTTATTATATAGGATTTCTACACTTGCAATTTCTCTTCCAGGAAAGTAAGACTATTTCATAGCCAAGTGCTTCTAAACCTTAGGGTTATTTCTAGCCAATGTTTCAAAGTTAAAATCTCAATAACAGTTCAGGTTATATGACAGAATAGATTTTAAAAATATTTAACAAAACCCTAACAGCAATGAAAATAGTCTCAATTCCTACTTCCCTTTCAGGCCTTGAAGAATGTTGACTAAGCCTTTCCCTATCCCTATCTCTCTGGTCTTGTCATGAACCCTTTGGAGCTATGCACACAGAGCATGACAATTATGATTTCACAGACCCAGTGATAGACCTGAGCAGCCACCTAGCCACTCCAGGAACCTCTATACCCTGCAAAAACCAGTGATGAAAAGGCTCTGTGACAAAGTGGGAAACCCAGTGGGGCCTCACATCTGCTGGTACTTCCCATGATTCTGAAGGTAAAGGTGTCACTGTATCACTTTCAGTGGATGTTGCTCATCCATGAAGACATTAGGGGAGGAATCAGCATCTCATACCAAGCAAGGCGGGCACAGCCCCGGTCTGTCCCTTGAAGAATGCCACGCAGCTGTACCACTTGTGGTGCAGCTGGCACTCGCCGACCAATGGAAAGACCAGTTCCCCAGATTTGGGGCGCTGCAGAGAGTGATTCTAATTTCCCCCCATAGCAGACATTTCCCACATCCTGTTTCTTCATTCTAAACTTCTAAGAATTGATGAGCAGAAAATTTCCTTCTCTTTTGTTGTTGTTATCGAGGGAAAGAAGAGGGAGTATAGGATTACTTTTGGAAAAGAGATGTCATTAAAATTTATCTTTAAGGTTTTCAAAGGTTACCTTGGCTGGGCCCATTATCTTCGGGAAAGTGTAAGAGGCGCATCCTTCTGGACTTAGGCCTAAGTGACTAAAAGGAGTATGAAATGTTGCCTATTTGGAGAAAAAAATGAATAAGAAATAATTTTGTATGTGATTAAAAAAGTTATTTATCTATATCCTCACATTACTTAGTTGAAAAGCATTTTAAAAATTAGTACTGTGCTATTATACACACACACACTCATTCTTTTAATGTATGCAGTTTGATAAGTTTGAACAAATGTATAGTTATATAACTACCACCCTAATAAAATACAGAATATTTCCATCACCCTCAATAATTCTCTGTGTCCCTCTCAGCTGCCCATTCCTCTCATCTCCTAAAAACTGATGATATGCTTTCTGGCCCTAAAATCTTGACTTTTGTAGAAATTTATATATAATATGAACCAGTGGCCCAGTGTACAGATTCATGCACATTGATAATTAGAAGAAATATTTAATCTGGTCCCTCCTCTCTGGTTCCGTGGTGCATCACCTGAGAACCTCCGCTGCCAAGTCACCGCAGCTTGGCAGCTCCTGCGTTGAAATAATATACTGTGTAGACTTTTGTCCTTTTGTAAGCTTCTGTCCTTAGTATGTGGCTTTTGAGAGTCACGTGTTGTTGTATGTATGTGTGTCCACTGCATAGATGTGTCATAATTTGTTTATCCTTCTATGAGTTGAAGCCATCAGTGTTATTTACAGTATTTTGGCTATTATAAATAAGGTTGTTATGAACACTTGTGTATAAGTCTCTGTAGGAACATGTTTTCAGTTCTCATGGATGGAGTTGCTGGGTTCTGTGGTAAATGTATGGTTTAACTTACAGAGAGTGATTCTAATTTCCCCCCTGCTAAGAAGCTGCTAAGTTATTTTTCAAAGTGGTGTACCATTTAACATTCCCTCCAGCAGTGTATAAGTACTAATTGCTCCATATCCTTCAAAACCTTGTTATTATTAGCCTTTTTAACTTTAATTATTCTAGGTGTGCAGTGGCATCTTGCTGTGGTTTCAATTTACATTTCCCTAATGATTAATAATATTATGCATCTTTTCATGTACTTACTAGTCATTTTTATATCTTTCTGGTGAAGTAGCTATTACAAGTTATTTTGCCACTATTTTTAAAATTAGATTATTATTTTTTGATTATTGAAGTAAGAGTTCTTTATATACTCTGGTTACAAGTCATTTTCATAATGGTGTCTTTCTCATATATTATTAAGAGCCATTTATACTTTATTTCTGTGGGCTATTTATGCCTTAATCACCTATTTTTATATTAAGTTGGTGACCTATAACTCTTTAGATGTATTTTTATTTTTTTTTAATCATTTTTTTGATCTAGTGAGTCATTTAGGATTGATGTTTCTTGGCTGATTTTTTGTTTAGATGATTTATCCAGTGGTGTCAGTGGGTATTAAAGTCCCCTACTATGACTGTATTGCTATCAATCTCTTCCTTGATATCTTTCAGAAGTTGTTTTATGTATTGGGTGCTCCTGTAGTGGGTGCATGTATGTTTACCAGAGTTATATCTTCTTGTTGAATTGCTCCCTTTACTATTACGTAGTGACCTTCCTTATTTCTTGGTATGGCCGATTTTATCAGATATAAGTATTGCAACCCCAGCTTTTTTCTCATTTCCATTTGCCTGAAAAATGTTTTTCTATCCCTTCACTCTCAGTCTGTGTCAGTCCTTTGTTCTGAGGTGAGTCTCTTGCAGACAGCAAATATATGGGTCATGTTTTCTTATCCATTCAGCTAACCTATGTCTTTTGATTGGTTTAACGTTAGTATTGACAAGTACATGTTTGTTGTCATGTCAGATTTTTCCTTAATGTTTGTGTTTCTTCTTGCCTTTATCTTTCTTCTTTTTACAGTAGTCCCTTTAGCATTTCTTATATTGCTGGCTTGGTAGTAATAAACTCTCTTAGCCCTTTTTTGTCTGTGAAGCTCTTGATTCCACCTTCAATTCTGAATGATAGCCTTGCTGAGTATAGTATTCTTGAGTTCAGGCCTTTGCTTTGCATAACTTTGTATATTTCATTCTATTCCTTTCTGGCCTGGAGTGTTTCTATTTCTTTAGATGCATTTTAAAATATGTTAGAGAGATTAGCCTTTATTATGTAAGTAGAAAAACTATTTTCTCAATCTGTCATTTGTCTCAGTTTTGTTCCAGAGGTTTTTTGATTTTCTTTAAACACTAGGAACAATTTCAAAGTTGGTTATTTAAAATAAGTCATTTTTACTTTTATTTTAATTTTAGAAATACTTATGTATTTCTTGATAAATATTGACAATATGCAAACAGAATATTTAGGCTCAATTTCCTATTATCAGATACTAGTAGCCCTATGCATGAATCTGGTAGGTCACTGCCTCAGTCCTGTAGCTCTCCGCCTGCTGCCCTGCCCTCCTGTAGCTCCTCCCACCCCTCCCATACCTTGCTGTCCTGCCCTCTCCTGTAGCTCTCCACCACCCACTTTTAGTTTGCTGCCCCACCCTTCTGCAAATCCATGATCTGTTGATTATGCAGCCGATCATTACACCTCACAGCATATTAGCATATTGGTAATTAGCATATTCCTCTCTTATTTTATAGGATGGTGTTTTTCTTTTTAAGGAATATTGTTAGAAGGTGTAAATGTATAATGTATGCAGCATATTGATCAAAATAATAAAAATATATAAAGTTATTAATGTCTTCTCTCCCTTTCTTCTCTTCCTCCTCTCCCAAAAGAAAGCTTATTCAGGAAAGTATACTGACAAGTCACATCCTAAGGAACAGAGCTAAAAACTGAAAAAATGAAATGAAAACTAAAAGGCCGACAAACAGCTAATGGGCCACAAACAGGTACATACAAAGCTGACGATGAGTAGCATTTAACTTATTTATAAGCATTATTATAGGTGTGCATCTAGTTTATCTGTAGAAATGGCGCAGTAGATGTAGTTGGGTTTAGTCTGAAGCTCTGGCGTTAGACTGCTGTGACTCTGGGAGTTTCTTAACCACTTTGTGCGACAGATTCCTCATCTGTAAAATGTGGATGAGGACCTATCTCACTGGACTGTCATTCCCTAATTTAAAATTAAGACCTGTTTTAATTCTGTTGGATGAATTCTTAGCAGTAGTCATTATTTGTTAAATATTATACTTTGGGCCAAATCTCTTAGCATTAAAAAAATATATGTTTAGCCGAAACTGGTTTGGCTCAATAGATAAGAGTGTCGGTCTGCGGACTGAAGGGTCCCAGGTTTGATTCCAGACAAGGGCATGTACATTGGTTGCGGGCACATCCCTGGTAGGGGGTGTGCTGGAGGCAGCTGGTCGATGATTCTTTCTCATCAACGTTTCTAGTTATCCCTCTCCCTTCCTCTCAATAAAAATCAATAAAAACAAAACAAAACATATATATGTATGTATGTTTAGCCCTACCTGGTTTGGCTCTGGATAGAGTGCCAGCCTATGGACTGAAGGGTCTTGAGTTCAATCCCGGTCAAGGGCACCTACCTGCAAGCGATACCTGGCTCCAGTGTATGTGTGTGCAGGAGGCAACCAATCACTATGTCTCTCTCACATCGATGTTTCTCTCTCTCTGTCTCTTCCCTTCCTTCCACTCTCTAAAAATCAGTGAAAAAAATATCGAGTGAGGATTAAAAAAAAAAAGTTTGTATTTATATATTAAGTATATATTAGCTACACACACACACACACACACACACAAACACACAGTGTCCCCTCAAAATGTATACACACTTTAACAACTGATAGCTCAATTTTGAAAATGAAACGTATTTTCATAAACATTGCCTTTATCATTATTCAAAGTGTGTATATATTTTTGGGAGACACTAATTTCAATTTTAATTTGAATTTATATCATAAGATGAAATTTCCAGAAATCTTTAAAAGGATAATGTATATGAGAGTCATTTTGAATACAGGGGGAGAATCAGGACAAGATTTAAATATGATATTTGCCCTTTAAGTAGTGAAGAATGAGACCTCTAAATTCAGGCCAGGTACCCTTCATGCCACCCCTGTTCAAAGCAGATCAATTAATGTTCATTTAACACAAAGAATGTAACCAAAGACTACTGATTTCTGCCTTTGATCAGAAATTTCCATATGAGTCAAATTAGTTGGGCTCATTCTTTGGGAAAAATTTCTGTTTACTACTAAAACAATAATGGAGAGTCAAGGAACTCATTTTTACTGGCATTATTGCTAAGTTTCTGGGAGCTCACCTACCTTGTCAGAGGCATAGACAGCATCAAAGAGCCCGAGGGTGGTGACGGAGATTCCCACAGCTGGGCCATTTACAACTGCAATCAGAGGCTTGGGAAAATCTATAAAAGTGTCTACAAAATCCCTACAGAAATAGAAATACAAAAGCATGTTTAAATGTTCTAAAGCAGCATTATGGAACATAGGCAAGACAGCAGGACTCTGAAGTAACAAACTCTTCTGGCTAGACTGGGTGTTTATGTCACCCAGCTGGGCCTCCCTGTCTTGCCACACCCATGCATCCAGGACAGCCATCTGAATGGCACTTGATGATAGCTCACAAGGTGAGTCCTAGATTCGACCTTAGTTCAAATCTTGTATTGAAGGCATTTAGGTCAGGACTATAAAGCTGCTATGGACTTAAGAGGTTAAGATGGCTGACTGAGCACATGCTGCATATCACAGCTCAGAGGGAATCAGAGATCCTGCAGGGATAAACAAGACAGTAAGACAGGAGCCTCACAGCCTGTTTTTTGAGACTACTTAAGTCTCTTATTACCAGCAATCACGGAAGTCACGAATTCCTTTGGCTCCATGATAATTTGCTAAATTCCTCTGCCTCAGTATGAAAGATTTTATTTCCTTTATTTCCTAGTTTACTTTTGTGCTTTCCAATCACATCTCATGTAGAGCAGAGGATGAATAGATAACAGAAGTTAGAGTGATAGAATGAATGTTGATAAAGGCAGTTTGGAGAAATATGCCTGTTCAACGTCACAATTAATGACATGGACACAAGAAGTATTTATTTTACTTTTGCTCAACTAAATATTATACCACTTTGATCGAATATGGATGAGCCCTCTGGGACCAGAGAAATGGCATTCTCACCTCAGCATAATAGCACTTTGTTTGGCTTTCTCCTCTACTCCACCAGGGGGAATATCGGTGAAGTTGGCCAGATCATTCCCACTAGAGTAATAGTCACCATTTCCTGTAAATAAAATCCACAAGCTCACCATTCATTCATTCTATAATTGTTGAGAATCTATGTACTAGACTCAGTGCCAAGCACTGGAAACACTGGTGAACTGGCTCTGGTTCTTGCCCCAATTTACAGATTAGTGAGTAAAATAGACATTGATTTTAAAACAGATAAGTGTAAGCAATGCAACTATGACACAAAGGAGTGGTACATGAGAAGAATATGAGTATATATAATAGGAGGTTTGGTTTAATCAGGGAGTTTTGGGAGGGAATTTTCTAAGAAATGAACAACTGAACTGAAATCTGAAGGAGAGGCAAGGTTAACTAGAAAAAAGGTGTGAGAAAAATATTCATGCAGAGGAAATAGCATCTGCAAAGGTTTGGTGGAGGGTTTAATCCTGGTGTTTATGATGGGTTCAAAGAAGTACCATTGTAGGGCAGAAAAAGCAAGGGGCCAGAGGAAACAGCTGGAGTAGGATTAGGATAGGTAGGATAAAGCATGTAAGGCTTTGGAGATCCTTCCTTTGAAGAGCCATTGAAAGTGTTTTTGTTTGTTTCAAAGTATAACTTACATACTATAAAAAGACCAGTTTTAAAGACTCAGTTCCATAATTTAAAATGTTTTTATTGATTTCAGAGAGGAAGGAATAGGGAGAGATAGAAACATCAGTGATGAGAGAGAATCAATTGGCTGCCTCCTGCACGTCCTACCGGGGATCCAGCCTGAAATCTATGCAGGTGCCCTAACTGGGAATTGAACCATAACCTCTTGGTTTATGGGTCAATCAATGTTCAACCATTGAGCCACACTGGCTGGGACAGGTTAGTGATTTTTGAGAACTATAAATAACTGTGTGATCACAATTCAAAATATCCATCATCTTAGAAAAAGATCCCTTAAACTTCTATCTAACCTTGTCCTGAAGCTCTCTGGCTTCAATTACCATAGTTTTGCCTAGTTTAGAAGTTTATTTAAATGGAATCATATAATATGTATTTTTGTGTGTGTCTTCTTTCTTTTGCTCAACCATGTTTTAAAGATTCACCATGTTATTGTGTGTGTGTGTTATTTCCTTTTATTGATGAATAGCATTTCACTGTATAGTCAACGAGAGGCCTGGTGCATGAATTTGTGCATGGATGGGGGTTCCTTGATGTGGCCCGTGGGGATTGGGCAGAAACTGCAGTTCAATGCCACCTGCTGCTCCCACTCATCCTGGTCCCGCTGCATCTGCCACGGGCTTGCGCCCCGTCAGTCCTGATCTGGAGAGGCTCATACTGCTGTGGCAGCACTTGCCAGCTGTGAGCCCTGCATCTTGATATCCATCCTGAGGGGGGTGAGGGAGGGCTGAGATGTGATCAGCCCTCTGGGCAGGTGATGGGATGCCCTTGATGGCCCGGGATCCGGATCCCTCCCATTGACATTCGTGCTGGTTGTTGGGAGCCACCTGGCGGCCACTTTTATATCGTTTCTTCCCTGAGGACTGTCTAGGGAGAGCAAACGGCCATGTTGGCCAAGGAGACCAGTGGCGTGGTCCGCCGGTGCCTGGCCCATTCTCCGGAGATTGGACCTGCAAGACTACTGAGTAAGTGGCTGCTGGGCTGGTAGGCCACTGGTACGGGAAGTCAGCTGAGCGGCATTCTAGCTGTGGGAACACACTGACTAGCAGGGGGAAGCTCCTGCATTGATCATCTGCCTCTTGGTGGTCAGTGTGTGTCATAGTGACCAGTTAACCAGTTGTTTGGTCGCTTAGGATTTTATATATATAAATAACTTGTTCATTTATTCACTTATTGTTGAACATTTTAAATAAATATATTCTTATTAATTTCAGAGAAGAAGGGAGAGGGAGAGAGAGATAGAAACATCAATGATGAGAGAGAATCACTGATTGGCTGCATACTGCATGCCCCCTACTGGGGATCAAGCCACATTCTGGGAATGTGCCCTAACTGGGAATGGAACTGGGACTTCCTGGTTCATAGGTTGACACTCTACCACTGAGTCACACTAGCTGGGCTGGATGGACATTTTGCTGTCTTCTGTTTTTGGCTACTGTGAAGTAGGCTACCATGATTGTTTTTTGTACAAGTTGTGTGTGTGTGTGTTTTAATAGATGTATCCTTAATTTATCTTGAATTTTTGCATTGATATGTCACTGAACTGGTGCATCATTCTATAACAAGTTGCCAACTAATAACTACAAATTATTCTCATATCAGAAATGTCTAAAGGTTTCAGTTGTCCCACATCATCACCAATATTTGGTCTTGTCTGTTTTTGGATTTTAGCCAGTCTAGTGGGTGATGTATCTCATGGTGGTTTTAGTTTGCATTTCTTTGATTAATGATATCAAGAACCTTTTCATTTCTTTTATGAAGTCTCAAGTCTTTATCCAGTTTTTAAATCTGATGGTTCAACCCTATCTGGTTTTGCTCAGTGAATAGAGTATCAGCCTATAGAAGGATGGGTTCTGGGTTTGATTCTGGTCAAGGGCACATGCCTGGCTGCCAGCTCCCCAAGTAGGGGGTGTGCAGCCAATCAGTGACCCTCTCTCATTATTGTTTCTATTTCTTCCTCTCCCTTCCTATCTGAAAAAAAAAAAAAATATATATATATATATTTTTTTTTTTAAATATCTGACAGTTCTTATTAATTAGTAGTTCTTTATATATTCTAAATATTAGTCCTTAATCAGATTTTTATATGGCAAATATTTTTTCTCCAGCCTGTAACTTTATATTAATTTTAAAATTTGATAGTCTAATATGTAAATTGTTTCTTCTATGGCTAGTGCTGTTTTATTGTTTTCCTGTTCAAGATATCTCTGCTTTCCCCAAAGTCACAAAGATATTGTTTTGTTCTAGAAGGTTTATGTTTCTGGGTTTTATGCTTAGATAAATTAATTTTTGTGTAAGTTCTAAGATGGAATTGAAGTTTATTTTCCCCCATATTGAAACTTAGTTGCTCTGGCACCATTTGTTAAAAGATTTTTCTTTCTTCACTGAATTGCCATATTGCCACTGAAGAATTTTAAATGGCGAAGGAATAGCTTTTTATTTGTAAAATATTATTTTGAATGTAGTGAGGAGACTGGACTAGGCATGGGGAAAGAAAGCAAAAGGGAATTAGAGAGACTAGATATGGGCTTACTCAGTTCAGACTGAGTCCATGGTGGCTTGGACCAGTGCAGAGAAGACAGAAAACAAACAAACAAAAAAACAAACAAAGCAAAACGATTTTTCCAGAGATATTGGTAAAGTGAAATGAGATTAGACTGGACATAGCAGAGGTTGAGGAGGGGATGAGTATCAATAATGAATGCTAAGGGCCTGGCTGGCGGGGCTCAGTGGTTGAGCATTGACCTATGAACTAGGAGGTCACCATTCGATTCCTGATCAGGGCAAATACCCTGGTTGCCGGCTTGGTCCCCAGTAGGGGTTGTGCAGGGGATAGCTGATCAATGATTCTCTCTCATCATTGATGTTCCTATCTCTCTCTACTTTTCCCTTCCTCTCTAAAAATCAATGAAAAATATATTTCAAAAATGACTGCTAGGATTCTGATCTACATAATGGTACTACCACTGTAATTTGGAACATTGAAAAAGACCCAGGTAGAGAGATGTAGGAAGTGACACCCATACCAGTCTGGAGCCCCAGGGAGCATCCTGGACTAAAGATACCGACATGGGAATCACAGGCTATAGGCTTTTGTTGAAGTGTAGGCATGGAAGAGAGGGTCCAGGGAGAACAACGATCAAGAAGGGAAGACTGTTTAGGGCTAAAACTTCAGGAATACTCCATTTGATGGCCACATCGAAGATGAATTTGCAAAAGTGATCAGAAAGGAAACCAGGTGCAGGCTGTGCCCCTAGAGCCTAGAGATGACAGAGCTTGAAGAAGGGAAAGTCAAATAAAGCCTGAAAATGTGGACTTGATTATACAATAGTCAGTGGAGACCTAAGCAAAAATGGACATCACGTGGGCTTGAGGGCCAGTTTCAAAGGAAAGATTCAAAGAACATGTTTGATTTGTAAGCAAGGCTTCACACAGTTATATGTCGGGTACTGAGAAGCAAAGAGCTGTATTAATTTTAGCAGTATTACTACATAATAAGTTTGTTCCTCAGTTTCTCCCTTGTTTCCACTAGTAGGAAAAAGTTTCATAAGTACGGTACTATTTTTAACTATTTCCAAGCAATAAATTAATTATAGAAATATATAGAAAATAAGGAGTGAAAACACTATTTATCAAAACTTAATCTTTCAATTTTTTTAAACCTATTAATTAGTGTAATGATAGGGCCTAGTCACATAGGCTTGTTACGAGAAAGCTTAGAAAAATTAAGAAATTAAAAGAAAACTTTAAAAATAATTAAAGTTCTTAGAGTGCCTGGAAAACAGAAAGTATCATATAAATATTAACCATTATTACCATTGTTATTAAACGCAGAAATTTTACTTTTAGGAATACAGCCTATAGTTTGCATGTTAGTTCTAAGATATACATCCAAGGATATTTACTACAATACCATTTCAACAGTAAGAAACCAAGTACAATCTACATGTTCATCAATAGTGGAATGATGAATTATGAAATCCAAAAAAATTAATACTTTGTAGTCCTGAAGAGAAAAACTTAGAAGTGTACGTACTGGCAGAACAATTTTTCAGGAAATGTTAAGAAAGGAAGTTGGGTATTATATGTGTGTATTATATCCTTCCTTTTCTTTCTTTTTTTTTTTTTAAGTGGAGGGAAACACACATGCATGCTTGTATATACATAGACAACTTTCTGAAAGGCATCAAGGAAGACTGAGTTTTTCTAGGAAGCAGGATTGGGGTTCCAAAGAGAGTGAAATTTAGTTTTGTTATGTAACTTTCATATCGTTTTTAAAAAAAACCATTACCTATATTTTACTTTAATTAAGAATAATTCATTTAAAAATATACAATACTCTTATCCTATATCAAAGCAATGCTATTTCTAGACTCTTTTTCTTATATTTATTCTCCTAAATTATCTGGGCATACACATGAAATAGGAGAGTAATTTTCAACCCTTCCCTTTTATTCATCCTTTGAATCAGCTGAGTTCTCTCTCTTTCCCCCTCTATTTAATTTTTTTAAAATTAAATTATTATCTTTGTACATATTTTAACATTGCCCCCCCTTCCATATATACCCTCCCTCCCAGTGTTTTGTGACCATTGGTTGTACTTATATGCATGTATACAAGTCCTTCGGTTGATCTCTTATCTCCCCCAGATCTCCCTACTCTCCCCGCTGTAATTTTACAGTCTGCTTGTTACTTTACTGTCTTTATATCTGACTTTTGAATTGTCAATTTATAATGTTCTTTAATATCCATAAATGAGTGAGGCCATGTGGTATTTCTCTTTCATTGACTGGCTTATTTCACTCAGCATGATGTTCTCTAGTTCTATCCAGGTTGCTGCAAATGATGAGAATTCCTTCTTTTTTATGGCAGCATAGTATTCCATTGTGTAGATGTACCATAGTTTTTTGATCCAATCATCTGCTGACGGGCTTCCCCTCTATTTGTTACTAAGACATATTTGATATCTCTAGATAATAATGTATTTTACAAATTGTAATGAAAATTTAAAAATAAAATCACTCTTGAAAATTTAAAAATAAAATCACTCATGCCCACAAACAGTAACAGCTACTTCTAACAGGTGTCTGCTGTGTGCCATGCCCTTTACCTTCATTATCCCATGTTATCATCTCAACCATTCACTGGAGTTAGAAAAACACTGTCTTTTCCATTCAGAAGCAGAGGTCACCCACAGGAGTAAGGAGTGAATCCAGGATTTACCTCAAGTTGATCTGAGTCCCCACCATGCATATGCCCCTTCCAAATCCAACGACTTTCATTTTCCATGTTTTCATCAGCCCAGGTCCATGGGCATCCATCTTATTTTCCAGTATAATCACAATACTGATATAATTTTATTTTTTTAATATCTTAAACATTTTCTATCCTGTTGATCTTTAGAATTATACTTTTGAATGCTTGTGCAATATACAGTCAGTGGATGTTCTATAATTTGCTTCATTATTCTATTATGGTAACATATTTAAAATATTTTCACAAAGTAATGCTGCAAAGATTACTTTTCTCGTATTATTGGCAAGTACCCAAATTTAGTACCAATACTTTTCTTACCTATTTGTATCTGCTTTTTTATAAATATCAATTTGTGCCTATTAAAATTTTCATATATTTAAGAATTAGATTATCTTAGTATTGGGCAAGATCTTAGAGCTTATGTACTCAGTTTCCTATCTAGTAGGAAATATCCAAAAATAGAAATTTAATTAAGACATCTAAGAAAAGTTTTGCTCTTCCTCAACTACTTGTAAACCTCCCAGTCTCACTGCTGAACTCTTAATACCCAGTTAACCCCTGTTTTCCCTTTGCCAAAATATCTTATATATCCAATGTTGCCTCAATGTCTTTGGAATATCTATGTGAATTCCCCATGCATGTATTACACTTTGAATTTCTCATTATAAACAAACAAAAGGAATCTAAGAAAATGACTTACCTGTTACAACAGTTATGGTGGAGTCATCCTTGCTTGCAGCTTTAAGTGCAAGCATGATTTCTTGATACATCTATGAAAAGGGAAGATGAGGACAAAGAACCTTGAAGATGGTAATCATTATGGGATGGATTCCCTAAATGTCAGTCTGTAAGCCTACTCTCTGCAAAGTGCCAAACATTTATGTTGGTTGTATTTAAGTAATCAAAAAGTCAGCCCAATGCACTTGAAGGGATTTTTATTCCTTTTATGATTGCTTGTATTATGTATCAAGTGCTTTAATGGATGCTTTTTCCAAAAGTGAACAAATAAGACACAATCCTTGAGCCTGTGAAATAGAGAGGTTTGCTCTAAAATGGGTAGAAAGTACAAAGTAATAGGAAACTCAGAGAAGGTGTGATATTTATCTAGGTGCATATTATGGGAAGTGGCCAGAGAAAGATTTCCTTAAAGCAATTTTTCAATTACAACCTCAAGAAAGAGCATGAGTAGCTCAGGTAGCCAGTCCAGGAAATGTTAAGGATGCTAAAAGACTGGGATTTCCAAGACACTGTAAGGATAGTGAAGGACAATAGGCCCAATATTTTAAATCGGCAACATCGCTGAAAATATTAAATATGTAGTTATCACCTTTAATGCATTTAAAGCAGGCACAGTTTCTACCTTAGATGAGACTTCAAGTTGGGAGATGATGATGAAGGCTGATATTTATAGATATACAGACACAGAGAAAAATATGTGCGAATTTTTCAAAATATATGAATAAAGGTAAAATCTTTGCACTGAGGGGGGAATGAGGAAGTCATTCCATTATTATTATAGTTATTATGTCACAGTAGGACAGGATTACTGGCAAGAGCCAAGATTATGAGATAGATATATTAGGGTTTTGGATTAGGATTTCCGCCATATTAATTATGTGAATTTGAACAACTAGGCTCCTTGTGGGAAGTGGAAATGGCCGGTACATACTAGGCTCTGTAAAGAGTAGCTAGTATTATTATTAACAAGATACTATAGAAAGGAGTCAGGATAAAAGGAAAAACAGCTTTGAGAACCAAATGTTTTATTAATTGGTTGGATAATTAATATCCAGTTTCATGAAATTCTTATTTAAGATATAAATGATAAACTCAATGAAAGGGGTCATGGCCCTCTCAAATTTCACTCCTAGTACAGCACCAAGCATCCAATTAACTCCCTATCACTTTTTTTCAAGGTGAAAGGTCTAACATGCTTATTTTTATTATTATTCTAATTCAATGACAGATTCAAAGACTAAAGTTGTTCTTGGGAAGTAGCACATTTCAAGCAGAGATGGATTATAATTGATTTTTGATGAAGTCCTGCTCTCCTTTCTCCCTCTACTTATACAAAATAAAGCTTAAAGCAGGAAAGCAGTGCTCACTCTCAAGCCTGTGACATAAAATACTTCTGGGGATGGTCTATGCCAACCTCAGAGGACCTCTACACACATTCTCTCACATTAATGAATGTTTCATTTATATTGATTTATCTGTGCTTCCATCATGGGGGAAGTTGTAGTTCCCTTTGGGGAACTATTTGAAGCTCACAAATTCTAAATATTGAGGGCCTACCTCGTTTGTGTGAAGAAGTAGCCACAATTACTAACCTTTCTCCAAAAATCAAATGATACAAAAACAGGAATGATGCTGAAACACTAGTTTTTGAGTATAGTAGCCGGGGTGGGGGGAAGAACTCTAGAGAAGGTAATGTCACCTGGGTGCTGATTGCATTCTTTCTGGTGGGCCGGTTGAACATAATTTTTGTGATGCCGTCTTCAGAGGTCACCACCAGGTTTTCATATTCCTGTTGTTCCCTGTCCGCTCCAGGCTTCCCTTGGCTAGAGGACTCAGATGAAGAACTCAAACTGGATACCAAATCTACATAGTTCTGCCTGGCCGTTTCCTAAAGAGAAGATGACCAATAACTTAAGCCCATGGTCAACAAATAAGCATTTGGAGAAACGTACTATGCTAATAAGTAGCACCTTGCAATGTAGAAAGAGGTTCTGATTCAACAGAATTACATTAAGACCGCAAGGGCTCCATCTATAATGGATTGATAATGAGAAACACACAACTTCCTTTAGGAGTACAGCAAGTAAAATAAAAGCAAAGTAACACTTACCTTGGGCAGACTGCCTAGAGCATTCCATGCATCCCATTTAGCCTTATTAATAAAGTCAAACACACCTGGTTTGGGCATATTGCAAGGTCCTTCAGTGGCCTGTGAAAAGGAGGCAAGTTTTTAGCTAAATATCCAAGTAAACTGGAGTCTTAGAGTTTAAGATCCATAAAATGCACGAGGATGAATGTGCCTTCCCGCCCAACTACTTTCACAAGGTACATAAATGGATCTGAACTTCTCCCTTGTCTTCTCTTTGGTGCTGTTGCTAAAAATGCTGGAGAGAGAAAGTGTGCTATTGCCTGTGAATCCCTGAAATAAGTTATAACGGCCTACATATGAAAATACTGCAAGATAAAGGTTGAGGGTAAGCACTTTTCAAAAATTCTAATAGTTCATTAGTTTTAAATTGACAATCACATTTTCCACATATAATTGAAATATTCAAGCAAACAATCTTTAAAGGTAATTGGCCAATAAACATTTAGAAACTCACAGTATATTCTAAAAGGGTACAAAACTACCACTAACTCAGTGGTGGATTTCTGGTGATTGAGTAACAGAGTTGTAGCTGAGGGAGCAGGAGGGGGCTGTCAGAGCCATGGGCCCTTAGGAAACTGAACCAAAGGACATATGAATAGAAAGCAAAAAGCAACTAGACTTATTACTTGTTTGAGGGTAATGAGTGTGTTGAGATGAATAAAATATCCTACCTACCTCATCTACTACTTTTAAGAAATGGCAATTTAAGACTCCACTTAATAACTACATTTAAAAAATGTTAAATTACATAATACAATTAGCTAAAAGAGAAAAGAAGAGCTTTGAAAAACAAAGGCAGTAAATAAAACTAACACTGTCCAAAAGCAAAGAAACAAAAGTGACTGTAAGAGTTAACCACCTCAGAAATTAGAGACAATAAAGTCCACAAAACTTCCCCTATTTCTAATGCCAAGTTCAAGGTTGGAGGACTCCTATTACCTCTCAGGTTCAGAAATATGCTGGAATGACCCACAGAACTCTCGAAAGCTGCTATACTCACAAATACAATTTACTGCCAGAAAAGAATACAGATTAACCTCTGCAAGGGAGGAGATGCATAAGGTGAAGTCTGGGGAAGTATATCCCTCCCACCCACTGTGGAGTCGGGACAGTGTACCTCTCCCAGAATCAATGTGTGACAACACACATGAATGTCTATCGCCTACCAGGGAAGATCACCCAAGTCTCAGTGTTCAGAGTTTTCATCATGAGCTCCATCAACATTGAATATGTAACTGAAGTCCCACTCTAAATCACATTGTTACTGTTTTATGGCCAGTCCCACTCTAAATCACAGTTAGATTCTGCAGGCAGACGCTCCTATCAGGCATGGCATTTCAAGGGACTAGATATTAGGTATCTAAGGTAATCTTGCCCAAAAGCCAAGAACAAAATGAACAAGCAATTTTATCTTTTTGGTTCATGCTAATCACAAGAGAATAACAGATAACACACAGGAGCCCTAGTCTTTAGACACTGCAACTTAAAAATTTACATTTTAAAATTTTGTTATAAAAATTTTCAAAAATACACAAAAATAAAATATTATAATGAATTCCCAATACTCGTCACCCAATCAACAACTATCATTTTTGCCATACTTGCTTCCTCCATCTTTTTTCTTTTTTGTTTTATTTTAGTGAACTCCCGAATATCATTCAATTTCATTCCTACATTTTTTTTTTTTTTTTAATCCTCAACTGAGGATTTTTTTTCCCATTGATTTTTAGAGAGACGGAGGGAGAGAGACATCTATTGGTTGCCTCCTGCATGAAGCCTGGCAGCGGAGCTGAGGCTCCTGCAATCCAGGAAGGCGCCCTTGACTGGGAATCAAACCTGCGACTCTTTGATGTGTGTGCAGACACTCTAACCACCGAGGACATCAGCTAGGGCACATCCTACATTAATGTTATTGATTTTTTTTTTGTTTTTAATATATTTTTATTGAATTTTTACAGAGAAGAAGAGAGAGGGACAGAGAGTTAGAAACATCGATGAGAGAGAGTCATCGATCAGCTGCCTCTTGCACACCCCCTACTGGGGATGTGCCCGCAACCAAGGTACATTCCCTTGACCAGAATCAAACCTGGGATCATTCAGTTTGCAGGCTGAGGCTCTATCCATTGAGCCAAACCAGCCAGGGCCCTACATTATTTTTTTTTAAAAAGCCTCACCTGAGGATATTTTCCCATTGATTCTTTAGAGAGAGTGGAAGGGAGGGGGAGAAACAGAGAAAGAGAAACATCAATGCCAGAGAGAGACATAGATTAGTTGCCTCTTGCACACACCTGGAAACACCCTGACCAGGACTGGGATCAAGCCTACATACATGCTCTTGACCAGAATTAAATCAGGGACCCTTCAGTCTAAAGGCCAACATTTTATCTACTGAGCTAAACTGGCTAGGGCACACCCTACATTCTTAATATGAATTCAGAAGGGCGTGGTGGTGGTGGGGTAGGATCAGCATTTTCTTATATAACCATCATACTATTAACAGTTTCTATTCAGTCCATAGTCAAATTTTATTTTCTTTTTTTTTAAGTCTTTATTCAGATTATTACAATTGTTCCTCTTCCCCTTCTCCCCCACAGCTCTGGAGCATTGTCAGTCCACTCCCTTTCTATGCCCCTGATTCTATTCTATTCACCAGTTTATTCTGTTCATCAGATTTTTTATTCACTTGATTTTTAGATTCACTTGCTGATAGATATGTATATGTTTTTCAAAATTTTTATCTTTACCTTTTTCTTCTTCCTCTTCTTACAGAATACCTTTCAGCATTTCATATAATACTGGTTTGGCAATGATGAACTCCATTAGCTTTTTATTATTTGTGAAGCTCTTTATTTGACCTTCAATTCTGAATTATAGCTTTGCTAGGTAGAATAATCTTGGTTGTAGTTTCTTGCTATTCATCACTTTGAATATTTCTTGCCACTCTCGTCTGACCTGCATAATTTCTGTTGAGGAATCAGCTGACAGTTGTATGGGTGCTCCCTTCTAGGTAGCTAACTGTTTTTCTCTTGCTGCTTTTAATATTCTCTCTTTGTCTTTTGCTCTTGGCATTTTAATTATGATGTGTCTTGGCATGGTACTCTTTGGATTTCTCTTGTTTGGGGTTCTGTATACTTCCTGGACTTGTAAGTCTATTTCTTTCACAAGGTGGGGGAAGTTTTCAGTCATTATTTCTTCAAATAGGTTTTCAGTATCTTGCTCTCTTTCTTCTTCTGGGACCCCCATAATTCTGATGTTTGGGACAACTCTTGAAGTTGTCCCAGAGCTTCCTTACACTATCTTCATATTTTTGGATTCTTTTTTCTTTTCCTGTTGGGTGTGTTTTGCTTCTTTGTATTTCAAATCTTTGACTTGATACTTGCAATCCTCTAGTCTGCTGTTGAATCTCTGTACATCATTTTTTATTTCAGTCAGTGTATGCTTAAATTCTAGTTCGTCCTTTTTCATATCCTCGAGAGTCTCACTAAATTTATCGGCAGTTTCTAGAAAATTCTTGAAAACCTTATAATGGTAGTTTTGAACTCTATATTCAGTAGTTTGCTTTCTTCTGTTTCTGTGTGTGTCTTTGTCTCTGCATTTTGGCTGCTTCCCTGAGTTGATAGAGTGGGTTTGTGTCCTATAGGGCCCAGTGGCTCAGCCTCCCCAGTTATCTGAGGTGGACACTTTTGGTGCACCTCTTTGTGGGCTGTGTGCACAGTCTTGTTGTAAAGCCTTTATTGTTGTTGGTGTCACTGGGAGGAATTGAACTCTAGGCCAGTTGGCTGTGAGGATCAACTATGTCTACAATGGGAGAACTTTTGTGCTGGAGACACCCTTATGGGGTAAGACTTGCTTCAGTGGTGCTTTGGTGCTCACTGAATCTGCCCCTGAATGTTCCCTTATGGATCTAAGAAGTTGTAATCTGGATGGTCCTATTCTGACCCCTGGGTACACTGGCTCTTGGATCTCTAAGGAAGTGCTAATTTAGCCTCTGCCCAAGGCCACCCAGTAGGAGCTACAGAGAGATCTGCAGATTTCTCTTCTTTGGGTTTTAGAAGTGTCCAGATGAGGCCCAGATGTGAAGCAAGGCAAGCTGCTGTGGGGCGCTGAGCCTTCTTTTGGATATTCTGGGTCTCTCTGACTCAACTGCAGTTTGTTAGGTAAGTTTAGATTTCAAAGGACCAGGCCATTTATATGCAAAAGCCTCTGTGCACAGCTTGGATGGAGAGAAGTTTCAGGGTAGAGCAAACAGCAATGGCTTCCCATCAGCCCTGCCCTAAGAGGCCTCCAGGTCTCAGTGTCCCTTGGTAATCACTGCAAGCACCTCTGAGAGAAAGCCACCCTCGAGTTCTGTCTGAAGCCAGACAGTCCAGTTTATTCCTGTATGAGTCTGGGTCCCCAGAGTCTCACCTGGACCTGGAGTTCAGAGCAGTCGGGAGCTTGTGTGTGTCTGCGGATTGTAAGAGCCAGCTGTGTACTCAGTTGCCAGCCCTCTCTGTACATGTGCCTCCATACCTCTACACTTTACTTCCAAAGCTTCTCTGAGTCTCAGTGTGCTTTTCTCTTCCCTTCTACCCTGTTTCCCCGAAAATAAGACAGTGTCTTATATTAATTTTTGCTCCCAAAGATGCCCTAGGTCTATTTTCAGGGGATGTCTTATTTTTCCATGAAGAATAATATGGTACACATTTATTGTTAAATGAAAATAAAGGAAATTTATTACCTGTATACGGTATGGAGATATGGTAATTGTCAACAAAAACCAGACAAACTGTGAATCCTACAGTATCAAGAATTATTAACATTTATTCAATGACAATCATGTCATCATCTTCTAAAACATCATCATAACAATCCAATTCCTGCCAAAACCGGTTTGGCTCAGTGGTAGAGCATCGGTCTGCAGACTGAAAGGTCCCGGGTACGATTCCGGTCAAGGGCATGTACATTGGTTGCGGGCATATCCCTGGTGGGGGGTGTGCAGGAGGCAGCTGGTCAATGTTTCTCTCTCATCGACATTTCTAGCTCTCTATCCCTCTCTCCTCCTCTCTGTAAAAAATCAAAATATATTTTTAAAAAAAATCCAATTCCTGAATTTCCTTGTGAATTTCTTGTGACTCCATTTCTTTTAGAATCAGTGGACCAAATCTCTCATGTTTAGCCTAGGGGGGACTTATTTTTTGGGGATGCCTTATATTTCACTCAGAAGGAAACCTTTAAGTAGGTCTGATTTTCGGAGGATGCCTTATTTTCAGGGAAACACGGTAGTTGTAGAATTTCCACTCAGCCAGCCTTCCTGCAGTTCTGGATGATGTCCGTTTTGTCTTTTAGTTGTAGTTTTGAAGTGGTTGTGCGCGGCAGCAAGTTCAGGTGTTTACCTATGCCACCATCTTGGTTTCTCTCCATATTCAAATTTTCTCAAAACAACTTTTTCAGTTAATTTATTCTAAACGGCAGCCAAATAAGGTCTACACATTTGGTTGTTATATCCTTCAAGTCTCTTTTCCTCTAGAGTGGTCCTGAGGGGTTACTTTTTGCCTTAACAGGGTTTGAAAGTATAATATACAAACGCATGTATACTACTGTGAGAAGTTCACACAAGTGGAATGGTTTTAAAATAGAGCCAAAGCAGCAATTGCAGAAAAGTTGCTTGTACAACTTGTTCCTGGAACCTTTGCCAGTTTGTGAACTGGCAAAGTAATTTTTGGACTGGGGCAAAGCAATTACCGTATTTTCTGGTGTATAAGACGACTTTTGAAACGGAAAAAAAGTCAACCGAAAATCGGGGGCAAAAGACCAAAATTGCACAAAAATTACCTGCAGATCTTGATGGCAAAGTAAGTCTTTTCTTTGAAGTGGGGGGTAGTTTTATACAGTGAATATAGGCCTAAACCTATGTTTTAACTGTAAAAATTAGGGGGTCGTCTTATACACTGGAAAATACAGTATTTGTAAAATTACAGAAAAGCAGACACCTGGGCCATAGGAAAAATTCTTTCTAAAGATAGTACAGTAACAACTGAAGATAGAATGAGTGTCAACAGCAATACAAATCACTTTCCTTTATTCATGTAATCATTTCCCTTCATTCTCTTATAAAAACAAAACAAAACACACACACACACACACACACACACACACACACACACACACACACAAACACCTGTGCCTTCACCTTGTAATTTGGATGCAATTTGTGTTTCTGCCTGACTCTGTACCCTGAATTGCAATTCTGCGATCTCAAATAAATACTTGGTGCTTTTCACTTTGACATTTTATTTCTAGGTTAATACACTCTTTAAAGGCAGCAAAACAAACCCTAAAAATAATAAAGCTGAATTTCAGTAAAACATACAGCATATCAACTTGAGGAGCCTTCTGCTCAAAGCATCTTTAACTTATATCAGACCATAGATATTTACCTGCTTATATAGTGCATAGAGTTTTAGCTTCACTTCATTTCCTGGATCCTTCTTCAACAGTTTTACCTGATTCATTGCATTTTCAAAGTCGTCCTGACTGGCTCTCATTGCTGTTCCACTCAAGTGCAACTGAAGTGATGGGAAACTAAAGACCTGCAGAGGACTGCAAACAGGCAGACTGATTTCTAATTATCCCCAAATCTTTCCATACTAACATGCTATGTTTCTCTCTAAATATTTTCCCTATACTTGCCCAACAAGCTGGGAGCAAAGGTCAGTGGTTTCCAAAATGATCCCTAGATAAGAAATCAATACAGAAGCTAACTGTAGTAATTTTTAAATAACAGTAAAAAAAAGCTACTATCCAGCACATTATTTGTAGCAATTCAAATTAAATAACGCACAGATACTGCAGATTTGGCTCCAGACCACCACAATAAAGTGAGTTTTGCAATAGAGCACATTCTGATCTTTTGGCTGGTGGAGGGTCTTGCCTTCAGTTTGTAAAAAGAATGCAACACCTGTTAAGTGCAACAAAGTGCGATAAAATGAGGTTCTGCCCCAAGCAAGAAGTAAATTAAAGGCATACCAGGTAGAAGAAAGCAGGAGACTAAGACCAAGGGGCAAAGTGCACTGAAAGAATTTAGTGGTTTGTATCCCAAAGCCTAGAAACAGCCTCAGCACTTGCTGACTTAACAATGAGCAGACACAGACTCACTCCTAACCCCACTATGTTTTAACCACACAGCTAGGAGCATAATAGCAAGCACCACAGGCAAGTTCTTAAGCTCACACAGCAGAGGGAAGAGAAAAATTCAGTGCACAATATTGAGGCCACAAGCCTCAATAAATGGATGTTCACAATGATTATCTTGAATAATAAAGTTAATTGCACCAAAGATGACAAAATAATAGTTACAAATAAAGCCCAAACATAGCAAATGTATCACTTCCTCTGCAATAATGTAACCTTCAAAGAGTAGGATGAAGTTCAGGATCAAGCACTGAGATATTAGTCTGTAATTCAATAAAACTGGTCTTCAATAAGTTTTATACTAAATATTTGACCTAGTGATGGTTTTCTTCCCCCTGGGAAAATTCTGTACCCTACAGGAATTTGGCACTTGGCAGATTCCAAGTAGAAAACGAAAAGTTAAAGTCCAAATAAGGCTTCAATGTGCAAGTTCTCACAGACTATAGTGCAAACATTTATTTTAAAATAAAGTGAGTTTTTAAAAATTACAAAACACCACCATTTAAATACAGAAAATCGAGAAAATAAAACTCCACTCCCACAAGGCAACCACCATGTTCCAGGGATTTTTGTTCCCTACGGGTTTGTACATGGTTTGTACACCCCACCATCTAGCATCACAGAAGTATTCTCCAAAAGCAAACGGTTTACACTGACAATAGGACTTGCGTCTCTACAGCAAACCAGGCAGCATGTCAGCATTCGCAGCTCACAGCAGCCGGGGTGAGCGGAACCGGCGCAGCCACAGCAGCCGGGCTTCCTGACGCTCCCCTGTGCCCTCTGCGGCCGAGGAGCGGGGTGCGCCTTTCCGAAAGGCACTTGGTGACACTCTCTCCGACCCCCTCCTCTCCACCCTCAACCCTACAAGCAAAAACCTGATTCTGCGGAGACAAGATACAGAGAGGGAGCTCCCGCGGCGGCGACCCCGCAAGGACAGCGGCGTCCCACGGTGCCCCGGCCCGGGCTCAGCACTTACCTCAGGACTGCGCTCCGACACCAGTTCCGGGCCAGCCTCCCCGCCACTCCGGCCATAGCGACCCCGGGGGCGTGGAGGAACTCGGGGGGTGGGGCTGGGCTGGGGCGGAACCGGCGCGGGACGGGGTGGGCGAGGGAATTCGGGCGCCGGGTGAGGGCGGGAGGGCGGACTGTGGGGACACAATAGGGGCGGGGCCGGCGCGCGGGGGCGGGGCTGAGAGGGGGAGCGGGGGCGGGGCTGAGAGGGGGAGCAGGAGCGGGGCTGAGAGGGGGAGCGGGGGCGGGGCGGGGCGGGGCGGGGGCGGGACGGGGCGGGGGCGGGAACGCGCTAGGTCATTTCCTCCTTTGCTGGTGTGGGAATTGAGGTCCAGAAAACATTAATTAGGTGACTTTCCCAAAGTGGTCAAAGTCCTGATTCAACCTCCTGCCCAGGGTCGAAGTCCTAGATAATTTTATTATTCTGTGCAGACGGCCCGTTATGATTTGTGCTACATCAGGCAAATCTAGGTAATAGTGTGGGGGCAAGATTGAAGGCCAAGTACAACAGTTTGGACTTATTCTAAATATTTTCTCAGATATTACAAGATGATGGTTGGTAGGCTGAGCTGAGTCTCTCAAAGACTCTGACCCCACTCCCAGGCTGAGTTAGGTGACCCTCGGAAGTAATGGGTACACTACTCAGAAATTGCAGATTCTGAAACTCCTCTTATAGAAACATTATTAATATTTTTTAAAGTCCCTTATTTAGAAGTAGGTTTGGGTTGCGAAGCCTTTTATAATATAAGTGAACTTTTCTGGGCTTATGCCTCTTATATTTCACATAGAAAAGAGTGTGGGAAATTAGTTCTTTTTTTTTAAATAAATTTTTTTGTTCATATTATTACAAATGTTCTTCCCCCTCCCCTCCATTGCTCTCCTCCACCAGATTCCCACCCCACCCTCTGCCCTTTCTCCACCCCCCATTGTCCTCATCTATAGGTGCACAGTTTATGTTCAGTCTCTTCCCACATCCCCCTCTCCCCTTTTCCCCAAGAATCATCAGTTCACTCCCCTTCCATACCTCTGATTCTATTATATTCAACAGTTAATATTGTTCATTAGATTTTTTTAAATTTCCTTGGTTTTTAGATTCATTTGTTGATAGTTACGTATTTGTTCTTCACAATTTTTATCTTTATTTACTTTCTCTTCCGAAAGTACCCCCTTCAGCAATTCATATAATTCTGGTTTGGTGGTGATGAACTCCTTTAGCTTTTATATATTAGTGAAGCTCTTTATCTGGCCTTTGATTCTGAGTGATAGCTTTGTTGGGTAGATTATCTTTGGCTGTAGGTTCTTACTATTCATCACCCTGAATATTTCTTGCCATTCCCGTCTGGCCTGCATGGTTTCTGTTGAGAAATCAGCTGACAATCGTATAGGTGCTCCTTTATAGGTAACTACCTGCTTTGCTCTTGCTGCTTTTAATATGCTCTCTTTTCTTTTGCTCTTGGAATTTTAATTACGATTTGTCTTGGTGTGTTTTTTGTTTTTTTTTAATATATTTTATTGATTTTTTACAGCGAGAAAGGGAGAGAGATAGAGAGCTAGAAACATCGATGAGAGAGAAACATCGACCAGCTGCCTCCTGCACATCCCCTATCAGGGATGTGCCCGCAGCCAATGTACATGCCCTTGACCGGAATCGAACCCGGGACCTTTCAGTCCGCAGACCGACGCTCTACCACTGAGCCAAACCAGCTTCGGCGGTGTGGTCCTCTTTGGATTCCTTTTGTTTGGAGTTCTGTGCGCTTCCTGGACTTGTAAGTCTAATTCTTTCACCAGGTGGGGAAGTTTTCTGTCACTATTTCTTTCAGTATGTTTTCGATATCTTGCTCTCTCTCATCTTTTGGGAACCCCATAATTCTGATGTTGGTTCTCTTGAAGTTGTCCCAGAGGTTTCTTACATTATCTTCAATTTTCTGGATTCTCTTGCCTTCTTGCTTCTGTGAAGGAGTGTCTTCTGGCTCTTTATGTTCCAAATCTTTGACTTGATTCTTGCGATCTTCCATTCTGTTTTTAGGACTCTGTATAATATTTTTTATTTCAGACAATGAATTCTTTATTTCTTGTTGATCCCTTATCATTTCTTGTTGATTTCTTATTAATTCCAGTTGATCTCTTTTCATATCCTCATAGGTCTTATCGACCTTTTTTAGGAAATTCTCGAAAAACCTCATAAGCATAGATTTGAACTCTATATCCAGTCGCTTTTTGTCCTCCATTTCTTTCGTTTGTGATCTATTTCATTGTCTCCGCATTTTCGCAGCTTCCCTTATTGGGTGGAGTTTCCTGGTGGCGCCTATAGGCTTGGCTTCCATCAGCCCCGCCCTATGTAGCTCCTGGGCTCAGTAATCCCCAGGGTCCTTCAGTACTGGTTGCAAGCACCTCTGAGAGAAAGGTGCCCTCTATTTTCACCTGCTACCAAACAGTCTAGGCTCTCCCCCACTGAGCCCAGAACTGGGGTTCAGTTCAGTTGGGAGTGTAGTCGGAGGTGGCATTCAGAGCAGTCCGGAGCTTTTGTCTCCTTCCCGCCAGGGCAATCCCGCGGCACAGCCAACAGTCCCTTCTCTGCGCACAATGTGCGCGCCTCCGGGACCTCCTTTCGCCGCTCCCCTGGGGTTCCGCCTTACAGTCCAGCTCCCTATGGATGAGCCTGGGTCTGGCCTAGAACTGGGGTTCAGAGCAGTCAGAACTGGGGCCCAGCACAATAGAGCTTTTATCTCCTTCCCACTAGGGAACACCAGCCAGGCACTCAGCCTCCCTCCTCTCTGGCTCTGTCCTCTCCTCGCGTGCCACGTGTCTCTGTACCTTAGGCTTTTACAGCTCCTCCACTCTTCCTTCTGGTTTTCTCCTTGCTTCTCGTTGTAGAATTTCCAGTCAGTCAACTTTCCTGTAGTTCTGGGTAATGTTCATTTTATATTTTAGTTGTATTTTATTGAAATTGTTGTGTGCGGCTGCGGCTAGGTGTTTACCTGTGCAGCCATCTTGGATTCTCAGCGGAAATTAGTTCTTTACCAAAAATATAATTTAAAAAATATAGAAGGAGCAAGTGTCAAAGATTGACTTAACTTAATAATTAGGGAATCAGTAGAGTAAAAACAAAATTTGAAAGACTAGCTTATATAGTTAGTGTAAAAATCCTGGAATAGATTGCCAAGTTAGATACAAAAATGATTAATGTCCTACAGAACAATAAAACCATAACCTTTGAGGTACCCCCTACCCTCCTTGGACAAATTATTTGCATCTCTACCAGCTGTCATTTACTAAAGACCAGTTAGATGGCAGTGTTTGAGGGAGGGGAGAGGATTAGGAAGACATTACTGGCGGAGAATGTCCACCTTGGTGTATTAAACTGCTATCAGGAGTGCAGGCCACGCCATTTAAACATGGTGACCATGGCCTTATGGTGAAGAGACCAGTTATCAGAAAAGGGAACCATTGTGAGTGGGTTAGATGCTCCATCTGAGCCTGAAGATCTTTGTATCCATTCTAAGGATTTTGGATTTTGTGTTGAGAGCAATGGAGAGCCACTGAAAATACAAGTAGTATGTCTGGTTATCCATTTCCTGGTGTAATCATAAGAAATGCAGAAGCCCCGCCCCCGCTCCCCCTCTCAGCCCTGACCCCTTGCACCGGCCCTGCCCCTATTGTGTCCCCACAGTCTGCCCTCCCACCCTCGCCCTGTGCCTGCACTTCCATTTGTTTCCTGGTCAGGGCACATATCCGGATTGTGGGTTCAAACCCTAGTCAAGGTGCCAGGAGGCAATCTGTCCATGATCTTCTCTCTTTCTCAAAATCAATAAAATAAAATTTAAAAAAGCATATCCTCGAATGAGGAAAAAAATGTTTTCCACTCTGAATGGTGGGAGTAGGCACTATTTCTGCCCCAGTGTGATCGTCGGTGGTCGTTCCTTCTAATCCTTTTGGGAAATTATTTTCCTAACCTGGGGTAGTTTTATCATGTTTATCTACACAGGGAGAAGCCTTTGCACATTACTGAAAATGTCCTCTTGTTCAGCTCTCTCCTTTTTGATATTCAGCACTGTGAACTTTAGCTGTCCTCACCTTACTGGTCTCCCAACTCAGAGAAACCACTAGGTTCTGTGCCATGGTGTAAAATATTTATCAAAGCAGTAAGCAGTAAGTGATGCAATTACAGGCACCACTTTAATTTTTTCTCCTTTTCTCTAGAGAGTTGTTTTGTGATGCCTGTTATCCAATGCCTGAAAACTATTGTTTCATGTATTTTGTCCATTTTTTTTTTTTTTTTAGGTATTTTGGGTGAGCATGTAAATGTGGTCTCCCTTTTTCTATCTTGTCTAGAAGAAGTTTTATTCTTTTCACATATAATATTTAGTTAAATGGCTGAACTGCAGTTTATTTAAGAAGACTTTGTTTTCCACAGAGGCTGCACCAGTCTGCATTCCCACCAGCAGTGCACTACGGCTCCCTTTTCTGCACATCCTCCCCAGCACTTGTTTGTCGATATGTTGATGGTAGCCATTTTGGCAGGTGTAAGATGATACCTCATTATAGTTTTAATTTGCATCTTTCTGATGTGACTTTGATAATTTCACATGTCTCTTGGCCAAGTTTATGACCTTTTTAAAGAACTGTTTATTTAGGTCCTTTTCCTATTTTTTAATTGGATTATTTGCCTTCCTTTTGTTAAGTTGTATGAGTTCTTTATATATTTTAGAAATTAACCCCTTATCAGATGTATCATTGATGTTCTCCCATATAGTGGACTCCCTTTTCATATTGAGGATGGTTTTTTTTTTTTGCTGTGTAGAAGCTTTTTATTTTGATATTTATTTATTTATTTGTTTGGTTTCTCAAGCCAAGCAGTCCTTTAGTCCTTTCTTTCACAGAAACATGTCAGAGTAATCATCTGTTGTCACACAGGGTATGCCAGTCAGCCTCAGCAGAGCCCCAGAAAAAGTATCCATTATTCTACATTATTGGTAGTCCTTAAGAAAACTCAAAGCAGCCAATGTTAAGTTAAAAATGGA